GGGGGGAGCGCGGGCAGCGGGGAAGGGGGGAAGCCCCTTACTGACAAAAGAACAAAGATAAGAATTAATCCAACTTTTTCTCAGAAACCATGCAAGCAAGGAGAAAGTGGAATAAAATATTTAAAGTGTTGAGACAAGAGAAACACCAACCTAGAATTCTGTACCCTGTGAAATTATCCTGCAGACAGACAAATATAGAGGGAATTTGTTTTCAGTAGACCTGCCTTGCAAGAAATGTTAAGTTCTTTAAAGAGAAGGAAAATAACATAAGTCAGAAACTAAGATATGCACAGAGAAAGGAAGAGCATCAAAGAAGGAATAAGTGAAGGTAAAATTAAAACATTTTTCTTATTCTTAATTGTTGTAACAGATAACAGTTCAAAATAATAGTCACAATGTATTTGAGTATGTATGCTTATGTATATAGGCATGCTTACAGATAAGTGAAAAGAATGTAAGCTTATATATAAGTGAAATAAATGGCAGCAATGATATAAGGGACAGAAAGGAGGAATTATGATTATTTTGTTATTATAAGATACTCATACTACCTGTGAAGTGGTATAGTGTTACTTAAGAGTAGACCTGGATTAGTTGTAAATATATATTGTGAGCTCTAGGTAACCATTAAAAAAAAGTTTTAAAAAGACGTATAACATGCTAAGAAAGGAGAAAAAATGGAATCATATACAATGGTCAATTAAAACCACAAACGGTAAAAAAAAGTGGGAGAAAAAATAGGAACAAAGAACAATGGCAACAAATAGAAAACTAACAAATATAGATATTAATCCAACTATATAATCACTTTCAATGCCAGTAGTCTAAATGTACCAATTAAAAGACAGAGTGAATCACAGTGAATCAAAAAACATGACTCAACTACATATTAAATATAAAGACATATGTAGATTAAAAGTAAATGAATGGAGAAAAATATACCTTGCTAACACTAGTCAAAAGAAAGCAGGAGTAGCTATATTAATTTCAGATGGAGCAGACTTCAAAGTAAGGAAATTTATCAGGGATAAAGAAGGGCATTATGTAATGATAAAGGGTTTCAGTTTTCCAAGAAGACATAATTCTTAACATGTATGCCTGTAACAACAGAGCATCAAATTATATGAGGCAAAAAACAGACAAAAACTTCAAGAAGAAATACATGAATCTACTATGATATTTGGAGACTTCAATACCCATCTCTCAGAATTAAACAGATCTAACAGGCAATGTCCTACAAACTTCAGGTTTGCCAGCCCGCACAATTGCATAAGCCAATTCCTTTAAATAAAGGGGGGAAATAGTAGATTCCAAGGACTTGGGGGGAAATGGGTTGAGACCATACCTCTCTTCAATCTTCTACTAGTTCTGATTCTCTGGAGGACCCTGACTGATACAATAATGTTACATGTTTTTCAGAATGTTGTTGACCTTGAACACTGGTGTTTTTTTGTTTTGTTTTTAATATGTTTTTATTGATTTCAGAGAAGAAGGAAGAGGGAGAGATAGAAACATCAATGATGAGAGAGAATCATTGATTGGCTGCCTCCTGCATGCCCCGCACTGGGGATCGAGCCTGCAACCCGGGCCTTTGACTTGCAGACTGACGCTCTATCCATTGAGCCACGCCAGCTAGGACAAACACCGGTATTTTAAAGATTCTACTGGACTCACCATGAAGGATTCTGTAGGGCCTCAGAGAAGGATATTCATATATGATTATCTTTGGGGCAACTCCTTTTTCAGCTACTGCGAAGTGAGTTTTATTAGGGTGAACCTACAAAAAATAAAATCTCACTAAAATAATAAAGCAAAGATTTTCATATAAATAGTCCTATTAATGCAGTATTTAGCAACTGTTATCTTACAATGTGTTTATTAGGATACACTCCAATAGATATATACTTGATGATGGATATGATTTAACTGAAAACTAGAATACTCATTTTAAGTTTTACTTTTATTAATAGTCATATTCAACTCCAGAAATTTCTAAGTTGCTTTCAGAAGAGCTGGAACAGTGATTCTAAGTCGTTAAAGTGCATCAGAGTCACAGAGAGGGCTTATGAAAGCACAGACTGCAAGCCCCACCACAAAGCGTCAGATTCAGTAAGTCAGGGCTGCGGCCCAAGAATGTGCAGTCAGATTTCTAACATGCTCCCAAGTGATGTTGACGCTGTGGTCTGAAAACCACTCTTTGGGAACCACTAATTTGGATGAATTGTTTACCCTTCATATAAATCAACCTAAATTTTAGTATAGAAAAATGCATGTTTCCAGAATAGTTTATATCCGAATGTTAAAATTTTGCCTTGAACTAACTTAATACAAATTAATGTAAACTTATTAGAAGTGAGAAAGTCACATTATTTTCAAGCCAGACACAGAGGGAAATATATTAACATGCTCTGGATAAATTATTTGGTGCCAGCATTTCAAATGATAGATGTATAAACTGGATAGAATCGTATGTTCATTTCTGTTACTTCTGTTCATTAGTAAGCCAACATACCGGAAGAGTAAATGGGTAGCCAAAAAATCAAAATAGATTGTTGTAAGAATAAGCTATTTCAAACACATATTGTACTTATAAATTTCTATTTTCAGTTACTGTTATGCAACTCCAGATTATATACCTAAGGACCAGGAGCTTGGTTCTGAGACAGACTGCACTGGAAGTTCTGGTGCCCAAGACAAGGTTGCAGACCATTTCCTTCCCTCCACACATGGCTGATAAGACCTATGATCGGCTGCTTTCCTGCTGGCAAGTTGCCTCTTATTCTTCCAGGCAAGTAAATACCTATCACTTCAAGTTGAAACAAGGCTTGGATTTATAGTATGGACACTCAGTAGAATAAGTATAACGTTGAAAGCAGCTGACATTTATTGAGGGCTTACTACGTGCCAGAGCCTGATCTAAGTTTTATATAAGCGTTATTTCCCTTAAATTTCACATTAACCTTGTGAGCTGGGATACCATTATCACTCCCATCTTACTGATGAGGAACTAAGGCACAGAGAGGGTAAGGAACTTGCTTGAAGTTATACAGCTGGTAAACATCAGAGACAGAATTGAACCAAGATGTTGGAGTCAAGAAGTAAATGTAACTAAAAAAGGGTAGATTCCAAGGAGTTAGGAGGAGATGGGTTGAGACTATATCTTTCTAGATATCCCTTCCCAAATAAATATTATGTAGGGCTTGTGGCCTCAGAAACCGGGATGGGGATTCAAGCAACTCTTTTATCCTTCTAGGTCTTACTTGTAGTAAGCGAAAAAGTTTCTGCGCTTTCAGATAGGAAGTTACTGTGGGGTTGAGTTTTGGTGTATTGCTTCATTTTTAGTGGAGACCCCAGAACTAGTAAGTCATTTATTTACACTCAACATATAGATTCATCCCATCTTTTCTAGAAGATAGCTTATATGCCCCCTAACACATTTCTCACAGGTTTCTCATAACCTTGTCAAAATATATAAAAATGAAGTTGAGGCAAGGGAAACAAAGTAGACAAATGGGACTACACCAAAATAAAAAGCTTCTGCACAGCAAAAGAAACCATCAGCAAAATGAAAAGGGAGCCCACTGTATGGGAGAACATATTTGCCAATGATACATCCAATAAAGGATTAATATCCAAAATATGTAAGGAACTCATATAACTTAACAAAAGGAAGATAAACAATCCAATTAAAAACTGGACAAAGGACCTAAATAGGCACTTCTCCAAAGTGGACATACATGGCCAAGAGACATGAAAAAATGCTCAAAGTCACTGATCATGAAAGATGCAAATTAAAACAACAATGCGATATTAAATATGGAACTGCCATTTGACCCAGTGATCCCACTTATAGGAATACTAGAGGCCCGGTGCACAAACTTTCCAGCATCCAGACTTTCTTCATAAGCAGGAGGGTAAAAATCTGGCCTGGGGGACAAAATGCCACAAACATGTACATGTTATTCAAGTGGTTCAGGCCAGAGAGGCATATGATTGCCCCTCTCAGATCACACTGCAAAGTGAAACTGTTGAGAAACATTGATTTTGAAACAGATGTATTTCTTCCCTGGCATTACCAGTTTTTAAAAAACATGTAG